GCCTATGGGTGCTAGTGGTGAGCTGGGGGAGACAGTGCCATCAATAGTGCTAGATTGGCAAAAAACCAGATAAGTAGAACTAATTAGGTTGGTTTCTCTTCTTATATGAACCAAAAGTTCTTAGATTAAAAGTATTATTATAAAATGGCACTTTTAAGTTGCCTGTGAAAAATAACATTTTGAGGTGCTTTTAAAGAGGATCTTAAGTATGTCATCTTAGGAGCTGTGCCCCTGTGAGTTGATGCTGACTCTCTCGGCTGATATTTAATAACACCTGTGTATCTAGGCTGAAACCTCAAGAATGTTGCATGAACATGGGAGGGGTTAGAACTGTTCTGAGAAACATGTTTAGAATAGAATTTTCAGGCCTAATTTTTGGCAGATCTCTTTCTAAGTCCCAGGCTACAGAGCTTCTGTGGATTCCTTTTTTTTCTCTCTCTCTTTTTTTGGGGAGTTGGAGGTTATCTCTACCACAAACTAAAGCTTACCAGTGAATCATTTTGAAGTAAAAGGGCTGGAGACAATGAAATATGCCATGAAGACCACTGGGAAGGCAAAGTTATTTGTATAAATTCTGACTCAAATTGTATTCCTTTTGTTCACTTCAAGGAAATTTTCTTATGGTGGTTGCTGAGGTTTCAAAACCAAGGTTGAGAACCACAGTCAGAGATCCCCGAGGGAGCTCAGCAGAGCTGAAATCACCCCTAACATACTGGGTTTTTAAATTTTTGGGGTATTAGATAAATGGAGTTCTACCTTTATCGTGACTAGTTACAAAAGGAATTAATGAAAGTCCACTGGTATTAGGTTCACAGATTTTCAATGATTATCACCTGCGAGATCACAGATCTGTAGGAAATGGGAAAACTTTGGGGAAGAAAGTGTTGAAAAAATTTCACAATCACTCAGCTTATGAGATGATTAAACCTTTAAAAGTTAATTATTTTTGAACATTAAGAAGAATCAAGTGACTGTAATTTGCTGTCACAGGATCATTTGTTGGACTTTGAAGTGTACAGAATGGGATGAAGAGAGTGGGTTGATGTTTACACTAATGTCTTAAGGACATTACCAGGACCCCTGATGTGTGCCATCAGTACCAACCTACCTTTAGTACATTCTAAATTACCCTTTTCTTTCATTTTACAGGCCAACTTTTTGAAGTGTAATAAGGGAGGGAAAAGTGGCAGTACTTTCTCTCAGCTCTAAATTTTCCTTCTCCAGAATAAGATCCTTGACCCCAAATAAACCAGCTTAGTGACTAAGCACATTTCATTTATTCCATTCCTAAAGCTTCCTTTATTTTGATATTTCAATCAAATGATTAGGTAATAAACTTCAAACAAGTAGAAATTCTTAAGAAAATGACAATTTATAAAATATGAAACAAATGAAAAATATGAAATATACTCTGGAAATGGTAGTTAAAATGATACCATTAGGGGATTTCTTCCCCTTTTCTTGTGTTGAAACACTTCAGAATACCTGTGTATACAAGCATTTAAAAAAGAATTACATTCACAAAGGGGTCATTGGGCAGCAGGCTTGATTGCAGTGTAAGTATGTGCGCATGTGTGTCTGTGTGTGTAGGCTTGTTTCATACTGAGTATCCAGTGGCTAATTTTTTGGATGGGACTTAAGGGCAATTAAGATTCTGGTTAGCTTTCATGCCAGGCACATAAGTTCTAACGATTTATTAATACAATTTGCTTTACCTTGTAGAGTGGCTAATTTAAAGGGCATTTTTATGAAACATGGCCCCATAGTTGAAGCATGGGCAAGAAAGCCAACAGAATTTATTCTTTTCTCCCTGCAACTTCACTAAATAATTGACTTGGAATCAGAATTAAAAGAACATTTGATGTTTATGAAATGTGTACTTACTCTGATACTTCTGATTAGTTGTGCAACAAAGTCATGACAAATTACCAGATGAATTTTACTTTATTTCTTCAGGACTGGGTTTTTTTGATGATTTCAAATTTAGGATCTTCGAATTTGAAATTAAGTAACATATTCCTGTCTGCTTTAAGCTTTAGAAGCTCACTCTCCAGCTCTTGCTGGTGCTCTGCAGGCCCTCTGGATCCCTGTCGCTTAGATTTGTATTTGCAGTCTTGCCCATGAAGACTTTCTGTATGGGATAAAGTTCCTTGTTAAATGCCACTGCTGTAACACCAACGTTTCTCTACAAAGTGAGTGAGACTACTGGTCGAATGACAGAGGAAAACCTGAAGTGCTTCTGAAGAATCAAGGTGACTCTATGTGCCTGAGCCACCACCACTACCACTGCTGTCAGAATTCATTCTTTACATTATGAGGCTTCACTGAAGATGTGTCACTAAAGTATAGGGAGGAAAGATACAATCAGAAGTCAAATAGGAGACCCACTAGGAAGCAGTCTGTTGTTTCTTCATAATATTTAAAATAACAGAAAATCAAAACTAAAAGTTAAGTTGGGCTGGGTGTAGTGGCTCATGCCTGCACTTTGGGAGGCCAAGGTGGGAAGATCACCTGAGCTTATAAATTCCAGACTGACTTGGGCAACATAGTGAGACCCTGTCTCTACAAAAAAAATTTTGTTTTCAATTAGCTGGGCATGGTATGTGCCTATGGTCCTAGCTACCCAGGAGGCTGAGGTGGGAGGATGGCTTGAGCCCAGGAGGTCAAGGCTGCAGTGAGCAGTTACTGCACCACTGCACTTCAGCCTGGATGACAGAGTAAGACAATGTCTCAAAAAAAGAAAAAAAGTCAAATAGAAGGTGTCCAGAGCTTGAGAAAACTTGGAATGAGCTAGGTAGGTTCATCCCGGTTCTTGAGATTTGTCTGCCAATGAAATTTCAGCCCATCTAACTGAGATGGATTTATCTGCCACCCAGGTGACAAATGTAAACCTCTCAGGGGGTTCACTCTTGAGATCTTATTAACCCCAAGGAGACACTGTTTGTTTTTCATATTGAATCAGAATTATTTTCAGTATACTTCAGTTAGTTTCCTCAGAGTTACAGAGTTACATGGCAACTTCACATAGTAAGAACTTAAGCAAAATCAATGGAGCTTAATGCAGGACTTGAATTCTACATATCTGAATATAAATGCAAACATTCTTTCAGCATTAGTTCCACATTTAGTGAATATAGATTCTGTACTTGTTGCTCCCATTCTTTAAATTTTTAAAAATAAACTTTACTTTTAAAGTTTTATTTATTTTTTAAGTATTTTTAAAGTTTTTTTTTTAAGTTTTAAAGTATGTAAGCCTATAAAATAGGCTTTATTTTGATTCCTTACTTTTTACCTGGTTTCTGTTTTCTATTCCAGGATCCTATTAGGATCAAGCTGCCATTAATAAATACTAGTCAGGAATTTTGTAGAATGTCCTTTAATTGGGGTTTATGATTTTTTTTTCATCATTACACTGAGAATTGTGGGTTTGGGGAAGAAGACCCAAAGGTAAAGTGCTGTTTTCAACACACCATCTAAAAGGTACATTCTAACAGAATTCTTTGTCACTGTTGATGTTGACCTTGATCACCTGGCCAAGGGTGCGTTGGTCTGGTTTCTCCACTGTAAAGTTATTCTTTTCACCTCACTTTCCACACTATGTGTAGCCCACACATAAAGAAAAAGTCGGGAGTTAATCTGTATCCTTGTGGGTGTGGAATCCTTGCAGGTGTGATATCTACATAAATTACTTGGAATTCTTCTACATGAAAATTTGCCTGTTCCCCCCATACTTATTCAGTCATATAGAGTCATGGATATTTATTTTGCACTTTGGGTAGTAATCAAATACCACTTTATTTGTTGTCAAAGTTTTTGGTATTTTTACCATTTTTGGTAGCTGGGAACTCTCTTAGTTGGTTCTTATATCCTTTTCACCTATCATCAACATTGTATGTATTTTTTTTTAGGGTGGTGAAAGTGTTCTTTGATTCTTGAAATGTAGATACACGACACTATGCATTTATCAAACCCACAGAACATTAGAGTGCACAGAGTAAATCTTAATGTATGCAAATTTAAGAAAACCTTGAAGTTGGAGTATCCTAGGATGGAATGCAAAATGTGACAAAACAATCTAGCTGTATTAAAAATGTATGAAATTCTGGGAGACCAAGGAGGGCAGATCATGAGGTCAGGTCAAGAGATTCAGATCTTCCTGGCCAGCATGGTGAACCCTCATCTCTACTAAAAATAGAAAAATTAGCTGGGCATGGTGGCGGGTGCCTGTAATCCCAGCTACCTGGGAGGCTGAGGCAGGAGAATTGCTTGAACTGTGGGGCTGAGATTGCAGTGAGCCGAGATTACCCCGTTGCACTCCAGCCTGGCGACAGAGGGAGACTCTGTCTCAAAAAAAGAATTGTGAACTAAGCTTACCAAAGGGAATTTTGGGTGTAGTGGGGGAGGTGTAGATCTATTAATTTTGGGAATGAGTAGAGTCTATAAGAATAAAGGCAAAAGAAACTGTACAATAAGCACTGTCCTCTAGTAGATACAGTTTTTTTCTCACAAACTAGAAGGTTAAGAATTTTGATACCACTCTACATGTATTTCACAATTAAGTAAATGGATTGCAGCTAGTAGCTGCCAGGTTTCTCTCTGTTGGAATGGGTACTTACAGATAAGCAGGGGGAAGAGGCTACAGTGATCCACGTGGTAACAGATTAGAGTTGTAGATATCAGCATGCACTCATGTTTAGCTAATACAGATACACACAGTTGAATATACAGGTATTTGTAGATATGTGTATATACATCGGTTAGGATACACATATATATTTTCTTGATGTGTCAGTTAAGAGTCTCTAGAAGGAACCATACCCTAGAAGCAAATATAAGATGAGCCTGCCCTTTTTTTAAGTGAGTTTTATCTATCATATTTTATGTGAATTTTAGCTTCAGATCTATGGAATTTATAGCTTGTATAAATGTAATTATTAAACTCTTTGCTCATTTGATACTTCATAGTTAACTTATTTACATGTGGATAACAATATAAAATCTATAGTCAGTTAAACTTTAATATCAAAATTGATAAAAATAAGTCTGTGAACAAGTCTATGGCATGCAAGATGTTGTTTGGGAAAATTGGAATGGAAGATTATCAGTTAGATGCTGCTCTCCTGAAGTTCGTGGGTTCTTCCTTCTAGGAGGGATTTCTTCTCCTTGGGGTACACCAGGCACTTCCCTATCCCTGCATCCCTCCTCTCTTCAGACTTGGGGCTGTTATTCTTTCTTCTTCCACATCCAGGCCCCCTCACATCCACTCTCCGTGCTGCCTCTACAAGATAAATTCAAAATTCCTCATGATTTATTATTCAGAACCACTGAGCAAATTTGCCCTAATTCTTTCCTTTCAGGTTATGCTCAGAAACGTTAGCATTTAAAACAAAAAGAGCTTCACCAAAGTTTCCTGTTGTTTGTTCTTTTTCTTTTCTTTCTTTTCTTTTTTTTTTTTTTTTTTTTGAGACGGAGTTTCGCACTTGTTACCCAGGCTGGAGTGCAATGGCACGATCTCAGCTCACCGCAACTTCCGCCTCCTGGGTTCAAGCAATTCTCCTGCCTCAGCCTCCCGAGTAGCTGGGATTACAGGCATGCGCCACCATGCCCAGCTAATTTTTTGTGTTTTAAGTAGAGACGGGGTTTCACCTTGTTGACCAGGATGGTCTCAATCTCTAGACCTTGTGATCCATCCGCCTCGGCCTCCCAAAGTGCTGGGATTACAGGAGTGAGCCACCGCGCCCGGCCGTTTGTTCTTTTTCTTAAGATAATCATCTAGGTAGAACTTACATCTGTAGCAATATTAACCATTGGTGGTGGAAGCTTTGACAATATAATTCTTTAACATGTTGCTTCAGTCAGGAAATCTATTATTAATTTTTATTAATATTTATCAATAATATACTATAAATATTACTATTCTCCTGCCCTGAGGTGTTTTGAGTATTTTCTTGTTTTCTTATTACATGGAGACATATGTCATAATATGAGTGATGTCTTCTTGCTGGGCTTCTATGTGGTATTTATTTTTTTTTTCTTAGAGAATAGGGGATGTAAAGACCATATCAGAACCTCTGCAGGTGCATATAGATTTTTGTTGTTGTTCAAATACATAAAGGTAATAGTGATAGATAAGAAATTAAAACATTTTGCTTTAAGCAAGATGGTATTATAGACAGTGGCATCATGTGATTCCAATTTATGACAACAGTAGTTGTACCATGCTCCCAATTCAGTCTATTTTATGTGAATTCAATTTTATGGGCTCTGTAAAAAATAGAAAGCAGGGAGGGGAGGTAGGGAGGAAAATAATAATTCACAGCTCAGGGTGGCTGCACTCATCATTTGACTTTGAGAGGATAAAGTCTATGAGTGAGCGTGACACTGCAGATGTGAATGTGCTGTTCCTACCATGCTTCTCAGAGTGACAGCGTCTTGGCACAAGGGTAAGAGCCATGCTTATAAATATTTTCATTTTCTGTACAACGTAGCCTCCCTGTGAAAGCTGCCCATTTCACCTGGTGCCTGGCCACAGTTAGCTCCGCAGGACTGCTTGTGTTGAGCTTGCTGAGAGATGACATGGTAGCTTCCAAAGGGAGTTTGAGGAAGGCTTTATCCATCCCTGATTTTCACCTTAGGCTAGAAGTTAAGGCTGCATTTGGTGAAGCATACATTAAATTGTCACTGCACTGGCTCGAGTTATCCAGGAAAGGCTTATCCTAGCCTCAGAGGCCTTGCTTCCTTTTATCTGGAATTTCTATGACTTTCTAGGAACTATGTCTAGTAATATTGAAAACTGTGGTGTCTCGATGACTTAACAATGAAGTAGAGAAGTAAAGCAAATCTTCCTCTTCGAGCTCCTTCGCTTCTTCCCCTTCCTTCTTCCCCTCTTCTTTTTTCTGTCTTAGTATGATTTTCTTGGAATTTCTTTGCACATTGCCTTGTCTCAGTTTTGAAAATCAAATGATTACTCCTTAGAGTCAAATTGAGACTATTTCAGTGGCTGGGAGCCGTGGCTCATGCCTGTTGTAATCCCAGCACTTTGGCGGGCCATGGCAGGCAGATCACTTTTGGTCAGGAGTTCAAGACCAGCCTGGCCATGGTGCATGCTTTGTAATCCCAGCTACTTGGGAAGCTGAGGAGACAGGAGAATTGCTTGAGCCTGGATGGTGGAGGTTGCAGTGAGCCAAGATCACATGATTGCACTCCAGCCTGGGTGATAGAGACTCTGTCTCAAAAAAAAAGAGTGTTTCAGTGTCTATAATATAGAAGAGTAATATATGAAAGGGAAACTTTATTTATATTCACATTTAAAGCTTGTTGAAAATTTAAGTTCTTCACTGTTATAATCTCACTGGATCCTCACAATAACCATTTAAAGTACAGATATTATGATTCCATTTGATGAGACAACTAAGGCTTAGAAAATGTGAATGACTTGGTTAGGGCCCCTAACTAAGTGACAGAGCCATTATTTGAGCCCGGATATATATATATGTCTCCCAAATTCATGATTTTTCTTTTTAGCTTGTGGTGCATTAAAAATGTAAGTAATCATGGATATTGGCCTGAATATCCATGATTCTTTTTGAGTCTCTGCCAGGTTTTGGTATCAGGATGATGTTGGTTCATTGCAGCACTGTTTACAGTAGCAAAGATTTGGAACCAACCCAAATGCCCATCGATGATAGACTAGACAGGGAAAATGTGGCACATGTACACTGTGGAATACCATGCAGCCATAAAAAGCAATGAGTTTGTGTCCTTTGTAGGGACATGGATGAACCTGGAAACCATCATTCTTAGCAAACTGACACAAGAACAGAAAATCAAACACTGAATGTTCTCACTCATAGGTGGGTTTTGAACAAAGAGAACACATGGACACAGGGAGGGGAGCAACACACACTAGGGTCTGTGGTGGGGGAACTAGGGGAGGGACAGCGGGGGGTGGGGAGTTGGGGAGGGATGGCATGGGGAGAAATGCCAGATATAGGTGATGGGGAGGAAGGCAGCAAACCACATTGCCACATGTATACCTATGCAACAATCTTGCATGTTCTTCACATGTATCCCAAAACCTAAAACACAATAAAATATATATTTTTTAAAAATGTAAGTAAGACACAGTTCTTGCCCACAAAGAATTTTGAGTCCCACTGGAAGATGAGAAAACTACAAATAGTGTAATTCAAATCAAAATATAAATACCTCTTTGATATTTAATTTCATCAAGGTTGAAAGGCAGGCTAATGTCTAAACAAGGATCAAGAAAAGTCTCCTTTCTAGGTGGGTCTTTTAGAAAGCTGAACTTCAAGGCAGCAGCATCTTCCCTGAATAATTATAACCTCATGGAAGTTCTTTTCTATGTGACGAATTTTATAATTAAAGGAGGCACGTCCAGGTAAAGGTATCTTCTGTGAAACCATTCATACTCTTACATGGTAACGGTTGTATGATACATGATGAAAGGGTGGCCTGGGGGATATGCCATTGAATTCTGCTGACTGTAATTGCAGTCAGCCAGTAATAGTCACCTGTTGAATATGAATGAGATGTAAATAACATCTTGAATTAATTTAAATGCAAGTATATTGATGAAATGGGGAAAAAAACTCACTTCAATTACTATAGAAAACAAGGAGGATAGATGACCTACATTCAGAAGAAATGTGTTGGTGAGCAAGGAAGTAAGTAAGCTGGCCTAAAAATAAAAAGGGCTGCACAAACAGTTTTTTTTGACTTCACTTACTAGTTGTATGTTAACTGTTCATGGCTGGCTAGTATAAATCATTTTATTCTTTAAAAAACACTGAAATGGTAAAGCAAATGAGGACACTGGAAAGTCTCTTGATATCTGAGGTATTTTCACATATATCAGTTGGGCGTCTCACATGTATTGGTTAGGTAGTTCAATACTATTTCAAAATAATTTTGACATCAAGAATCACTTGATACATAATTGGTCAACAAGGACTGCATTTGGGAGAATTAGATTAGGTTGAATCTGTCTGGCATCTCAACTAATAGAAATACTTTTTATGCAGGTTTTTCATCTCTCTCTCTGTCTGCGTTGCCCTGAAGTTCTTCTGACCTGTCGCTGATAGTCACAGGAGGAACAGCCTATTCCAGCAACTTGCTGATGTGGGGTTTATCTACCTCCTAGTTGAGTGACTCTAAAACTTCCATAGGCATAAGGATTGCTTGGGATAGGGGTGGTGCTTGTTGTAAATCATTGCAGACTCCTGGGCCACCCTCAGAGAGATTGATTCAACACATTCTGGGATGGTAATCCCATAATATGCATTCAAAATGAACAGTTCTTCCCCAGGCCCCTACCTCCATTCTGATGCCTCTGAGAAATCCTGCTCCCTACTCTGCTTTCTCTACATTTGTAACCTTCTGAACACTTTTTCACATTTTGACCAACTTAAGAAAACAAGTTAGGGAGTCCCTATATATCGCATTACTTCTGTTCCATTTGTAATTTAGTAAGAAACATGTCTCCCTCTTTCCCATAGCATCAGTCAACTGTAAGAAGTATAATATTCCTATACCTTTAGTTAAGGGGATAGTATAGTATAGGTTTAGCATGGGTTGTGTAGCAAGGAGCTACAAAAACCACTCCCACCAATTCAAGATGAGGACTTTAGTATTTCTTTATTTTTTTATTTTTTTTTATTTTTAAAAAATATGCTTTAAGTTCTGGGGTACATGTGCAGATTGTGCAGGATTGTTACACAGGAATACACATGCCATGGTGGTTTGCTGCATCCATCCCCCTGTCACCTACATTAGGTATTTCTCCTAATGTTATCCCTCCCCAATCTCCCCACCCCCTATCTCTTCCCTAGCCCCTCCACCCGCAACAGGCCCTGGCGTGTGATCTCTCCTCCCTGTGTCCATGTGTTCTCATTGTTCAACGTCCACTTAGGAGTGAGAACATGTGGTGTTTGGTTTTCTGTTCTTGTGTCAGTTTGCTGAGAATGATAGTTTCCAGCTTCATCCATGTCCCTACAAATGATGTAAACTCATCCTTTTATAAGGCCGCATAGTATTTCATGGTATATATGTGCCACGTTCTCTTTATCCAGTCTATCATTGATAGGCATTTGGGCTGGTTCCAAGTCTTTGCTATTGTAAACAGTGCCACATGAACATACATGTGCATGTGTCTTTATAATAGAATGATTTATAATCCTTTGAATATATACCCAGTAATGGGATTGCTGGGTCAAATAGTATTTCTATTTCTAGATCCTTGAAGAATTGCCATACTGTTTTCCACAATGGTTTCACTCCCTCTAACAGTATAAAAGGGTTCCTATTCATCCACATTCTCTCCAGCATCTGTTGTTTCCAGATTTTTAATGATTACCATTCTAATTGGAGTTAGATGGTATCTCAATGTAGTTTTGATTTGCATTTCTCTAATGACCAGTGATGATGAGCATTTTTTCATGTTTGTTGGCTGCATAAATATCTTCTTTTGAAATGTGTTTGTTCATATTCTTTGTCTACTTTTTGATGGGATTGTTCATTTTTTTCTTGTAAATTTAAGTTCTTTGTTGATACTGGGTATTAGCCCTTTGATAGACGGGTAGATGGCAAATATTTTTTCTTATTCTGTTGGTTGCCGATTCACTCTAATGATTATTTCTTTTGCTGTGCAGAAGATCTTTAGTTTAATATATCATTTGTCTATTTTGGCTTTTGTTGCCTTTGCTTTTGGTGTTTTAGTCATGAAGTCTTTGCCCATGCCTATGTCCTGAATGGTATTGCCTAGGTTTTCTTCTAGGGTTTTTATGGTATTAGGTCTTATGTTTAAATCTTTAATTCATCTGGAGTTAATTTTTATATAAGGTATAAGGAAGGGATCCAGTTGCAGCTTTCTACACATGACTAGCCAGTTTTCCCAACACCATTTATTAAACAGGGAATCCTTTCCCCGTTGCTTGTTTTTGTCAGGTTTGTCAAAGATCAGATTATTGTAGATGTGTGGTGTTACTTCCGAAGCCTCTGTTCTATTCTATTGGTCTATATCTCTGTTTTGGTACCAGTACCATGCTGTTTTGATTACTGTAGCCTTGTAGTATAGTTTGAAGTCAGATAGCATGATGCCTCCAGCTTTGGGGTTTTTTTTTTCTTTCTTAGAATTGTCTTGGCTGTGCAGGCTCTTTTTTTGGTTCCATATGAAGTTTAAGGTAGTTTTTTTCCCCAGTTCCATGAAGAAGGTCAATGGTAGCTTTATGGGGATAGCGTTAAATCTGTAAATTACTTTGGTCAGTATGGCCATTTTCATCATATTGATTATTCCTAACCATGAGCATGGAATGTTTTTCCATCTGTTTGTGTCCTCTCTTATTTCCTTGAGCAGTGGTTTGTAGTTCTCCTTGAAGAGGTCCTGCACGTCTCTTGTTAGTTGTATTCCTAGGACACATTTAAAGCAGTGTCTAGAGGGAAATTTATAGCATTAAATGCCCACATGAGAAGCAAGGAAAGATCTAAAATCGACACCCTATTGTCACAATTAAAAGAACTAGAGGAGCAAGATCAAACAAATTCAAAAGCTAGCAGAAGACAAGAGTACTTTAGTATTTCCAACTGCCTTGGATGTTTTACATTTCAAAGGACTCTTTTATGGTAGCAAGTACAGTTGAAGAAAAATAACAGTATCTCCTGATCCAACACTATTTTGGTTTGGTGATTGTCTACACTAATGAAGTTCCCTTTTTTTTGGTCTACGGACAACTTAGAAGCAGCCAAAGGGCCACAGACCTGTGCACACTCCCACTATTCTCTGCAGCCTCAGGATAATGGGTTTTCTCTACTCAGAAGTACTGTTCTTTTTGCAACTGTTGTGATAAATAAAATACAAATCTATATTTTAAACACTTTATAATAGTTCACATTGATGGTTTTGTCAAAGGATGTGTTTTTAATCAGTTGTCATGTAAAGATTCTTCATCTACAGGGTAAAGGTCATTTACACGGGAGACTGATTATTGTAAATCATTCATTCTTTCAGCCATTGCCTACAGCATCCTAGGCACTGTTTTGTGCTCTGAAATTGAGAGTGAATATAAATACTCTTCCACAAGATTTGGTATATTTTCTAATTAAAGATCCATACAGACTGAAACTCTTTTACTGGATATAAGGGCTGAAAATTCTTATAATTATATCCAGCTGGTTGAGAAAAATATGTACTTACTCATCAAATAAAAAGCCACAGGCTTGGCATGGTGGTTCACGCCTGTAATCCCAGCAGTTTGGGAGGCCAAGGTGTGTGTGTCATTTGAGGTCAGGAGTTTGAGACCAGTCTGGCTGACACAGCAATACCCCGTCTTTACTAAAAATACAAAAATTAGCTGGATGTGGTGGTACATGCCTATAGATCCAGCTACTCAGGAGTTTGAAGCAGGAGAATTGCCTCAACCCAGGAGGTAGGGGTTGCAGTGAGCAGAGATCCTGCCACTGCATTCCAGCCTGGGCAACAGAGTGAGCCTCTGTCTCAACAACAACAACAACAACAACAAAAAAAGGCCACAAAATAGAAAATGTATTAATATTTCTTTTCACTCAATTGCAATCCTTGTAACTATAGTTGTATTTTGTTTTAGTTGTATGTATAGGTGACAAACTATATAAAAACAGCAGTGATTTATGTAATTCTGATTTTGATTTAAATTTGAAATTAAGTGGTCTCTCCCCTTTGTCCTCTTCTCCCTATGCCCCTCACTCAACCCCTATCCAATCAGACAGGATTAGCTTTCATTGAGCACGCTGTACAGCTATTTTCTTACATAGTGTGGCACAGTAGTACTGACAATTTAGGAAATAATTGAAGCAAAGAAATGAATGTTAATTAAGACACATACTATTAGCTTCTAAATCTGCAGACTTGATCTTCATATTTTTCCAATGTCCTTTAGTTTATTTGGACATCAGATGACCTCAAAAAGCAAAACAAAACATTTCTTGCTATTGTTTCTACTAAAAGAAATGCTTAAAAGAGACTCCCCAATAACATTTAGAACATCCTTTTCTCCACTGCAGATCTTGGCTGTTGTGTTTGGGCTTATTTGGGGCATGTGCATTTGTGTGCCTATAGGAAGCAGAGAAGTGAGCTTGAGTAGTGCCACGATTTATGGGGAGGCCATAATGAGCTTCTCCTGAATGCTAATTACTGGAGAATTGTTCAGGGAGACTGCAAGAACTGTTGGTTTGTGGTAAATTAGTCACCAGCTCTATTGAGATGGACTGAAAGCTTAGATCAAAGCTATAAAGGCACCAAAATCCTGATAACTGACGGCCAAACTTGGTGACAGTACCAATATGGAAATACCCCAGTTGTGCTAAACAGTGGTAGATAACTTTGTATGAATCTAATGAAATGAGTACAAGCTATATAAAAATGAAAACTTCCAACCACATTAGGATTAAAAGGGCAGTGAGACTGGATTGTTAAATGAATTATCAGAGCTGTTTTTGGTTCTTAGATCAGAAAAGCTGCCCAAGCTGCCAATGGCATGAGAGAATAGTCTGCTCTGGAAAGAGCACTTCCTGGAGTCTGCTGGCCTTCATTTGCCTGGGGATCAAGCTTTCTGGCTGTCCACACACATAAACCTCAACCTTTATCTAACAGGGCACTGGGTGGCTCTTCTGAGAAGCGATACTCTCACTCCGAGCAAAACAAGCCTGCATTTGGAGGCTTTTTTTTTTTTTTAAATCACAGGCAGCCCTCTTTCAATTCCCAGTTACCTTCCTTTTTCATTTCCATTTCCAGCAACCAGAAGAGAGGAGTTAATGATTCATTTGCTCCCAATGACCTTTTGAATAAGTGGACTGCACTGTTTCAGCCAAACTCTTAGCTCCCCCGCCTTCGCCCTCCTTTCCTTCCCCAGTTTGGCTTTAATATTTACAGCCTCCTTGTCTGTCTACACGCCTGAATGCCCGAAGGAAGCAAAACATTTATTGCCTTTCCCTCCCCGGTGTGCAGGAGCTATTTCATCCAGTCTCATTCCTCCCTTTACATCACACGGGGAGGCTTGCCTCCTGGCTGGGGACGCCCCAAGTTCTTCCCGAGTCTCTGCTGTTTCATCTGTTGATTTCACCAAAACAAAAAGATGGATTCTGACTCCGACTCACCTTTTAACTACTCGTGGCCTTCCTTTCCCAAAATGAAGATTCGAAGAAGGGCATCTAAACAAGGTAGATTGCAGTATCTTTTCTTTCCTGGACAAGCAAAACCAGACATCCTATTCTTACCTTTCTTTTCCTTGTTCCTTTGCCAGACTGTTTTTCCAATGTAGTGCGTGTTTATGCGTATCTTTAGAAAACTCTCACTGTACGGATACATATAGGTTTCTGAGGCAAACCTACTGATTTGCCTTATGTTCCTTTCATTTTGAATCGACCTACCTTGGTGTTATTATGTGTGTGCAATTCTCTTTAGAAAAAAAAAAAAGAGGAGTTTAGTACAAGGTAAGTGTTTTGGATTCACTTAATAGAGTTACCGTGGAGTTACCTTGACAATAAGAGTCCTGTTGATTTAAACATTTTCAGTCTTTGTGGGATTTGCAGAGAAAACCCATGTGTTTCACACCCAGTTTCTGTGTCTTTTGTTTTAGTTTTCAAGTGTGTAGTAATTTTAAAAAATATTTTGTAACTAAAATTTTTCTATTTTATACTATTTTATTGATTTTATAGATGTTATAAGGAAAGGATTTGAAAAAAATAATTTAAACACAAAAGCCTGTATATCTTCAGAGAATATAGGCACATATTAACTAGTTTACTAAAAGTAATTGTCAAGTAAGTTAACTAAAATCCTTTACTGCTGAAAAAACAAGAGTCGTTTATCTGAGCATGATTGACAACAATATGTTCTCTCTTACTTGCAACCCATTCTTGTTGTAGTGTGGGCCGTGGGAAAAGGGGCAAGCTGGTGTTAGGGTACAGAAGAGGTGCCGTGAGAAGCTGTTGTCCCATCCTTGGCTGGGCGTAGCTGGTGATAATTGTTGCCTTCTGAGGCTTAAAAAAATAAGGTAGTGTCTAATCCTTCCCATTTCTTGTCTTGTGTAGGGGCATGTGTAGTTATGTTTTTCATTCAAAGAGAAAAGAAACATTTTTAGAAGCTTGCAAGCAGAAAAGGTGTTTCTAAGCAGGTTACCTCTGCAGGACCCTCCTTCGGGAGCATACCTGATCTAGGGAGCAGGATGGCTTACCCTGTCACCCTGTGCTTCTTCCAGAGGAGGATAGACGCTAGCAGTTGTCAGCATACCAGCTTAGCTTCAAGCATCTTCTTCCTTCCTTCTGAAATAAAATAGAAGTGTTTCTTTGGCTTGTTTTCTCTTTGGCTTAGTTGAAGGCCAACTCCAGGAATAAGATGTGTTTACCATCTAGGGCTAGTAGAAAGACTCAGTCTGAACATATTTTTCATGTTGCTCAGCTGCCGTCCTTCAAATTCTATCACTGAAGACTTTAATAGCTTATATTCAACATACTATTTTTAAGACATTAAAATTAATGTTTTAAAAATTAATTTTATTTTTTATCTAAGAAAATTGTTTTCTCTATTTTATTGATTTTATAGATGTTGGAAGGAATAGCCTTAAAAAATTTTCAACATGAAAGCCTGTATATCTTTGGTGGATATAGTCATATATTAAAGGGCCATGATATATATATATATTATATATGTAAATATATAATATATAAACATATATATAAATATATAATATATAAACATATATAAATATATAATATATAAACATATATAAATATATAATATATAAACTATATGTATATATAAATATATACTATATAAACATATATGTGTATATAAATATATACTATATAAACATATATATGTGTATATAAATATATACTATATAAACATATATATGTGTATATATAAATATATATATTTATATATAAAAGAGCACAAACATGTGCTTATAAAAACAAGCTTGTAGAAAATGGAGTAAAATGTTAACAATATAGAAATCTGGGTAAATAGTATATATTGTTATTCTGTGCTGCTATTCTTTTAGCTTCTCTTTTAAAAAAAAAATTAGTGGGTTTCTTTCAGCTTTTCTGTAAGTTTGACATTATTCCCAAATAGTTAATTGCTTTATCAGAGAGGAGATACACAGTCATTATGACTTTGGAGTGAATATTATTAGTTCTGGTACATTGAGAGCTGCTTGAGGGAAGGTGCCATTCTGTAGAGTCCACCAAATCTCTGTGCCAATTCTAATCCAGTTAAATTTGGGGACTAGTCTGCTTTATTTAGTTTTGTTTTTATGTTGCCCAATGTCGTTGGGGCCTGGGCAGCCTTATACCGTGGAGAGACATGGGATTAATGATGAGGAAGCCAGTGGAGAACTTTGAGAGTCCATTGAAATTGTAGGGAATGCATTTATTGTGCTCTCCTTTTAAATTCAAAGTTGGAGGGTGGCCACTATGAGTGGCAACAGAAAGTCATAGCATAGCTATGTATAAATTAAACATGATTCAAGTGAAAGCAGGTACCTGGGATATGGAAATGATTAACTATTTGCCACTGATAAAAGATGAGTGAAAATGAGGTTGGTAGCAGAGCAGTGGGGATTGTTAGACCATGTTCCACACTTTCGTTCTTTATTAAATCGTTGTGATTTAGTTATGAAGCAGGGGTCTGGTCATGCTGTAATGCTAGCTAGAAGAGTTCCAGAACCACAGATTTTTAGAACCTAAAGGGCTTTAGAGATGATCTGGTCCAATCCCCTCATTTGACAGATGAGGGCAATAGTGACGTGAGGGGAGTTATTCACATGTTCAAGAAGCATTTGGGGTGGGGGGTGCCAGGCACTGTTTTTGAGGGTATGGTAAAGTAATGACCCTGACAGATGCTGTCTCTGCTGACAGGAATCTTAACATGGGGACCCATCTCCCAGGACCCAGATGTGCCCCCTCCATATAGTGGAAGAAATATCAAGGAACTTGATTTTTTAGCCTGATGGTCAGTTTGTGAACTGTGGTCTCTTGTCACCTAGAGGATATCACAAGTATTTTTGTCAGTCTTCAAAACTAAGGTGGCTTGAATTTCTTAATCATTCTTCCCTTCCTTTTAATCACCACCAACATTATTCTCAGATGTAGGTTCAAGTCACCTGAGAAATCATGAAGGTAGTTTTGAGGGCTTGGAATTACTGGCTTGTTTGCAAACCTCTCTTGAATTTGGTCAGATGTAGTGTCATGTCTTATGTTCTCTCTTGTTTTTTCCTTGTCCTAACCTCCGTTGTCAGCATTTCCTTTGTTTTAATATCTCCTTCTGTCCTAGTTTTCATTATTTTCTTTGATAGAATCCTGGACACATACATATTACTGGCTTGTACAGGGAATGATGTGAAAATTTAGAGCAAGGATTTGGTAACAAGAGGAAAACACCAATAGCAGAAACCCACTAATACCATATTTCAATTAAAAAGTGTATCTAGTACTTTCTTATCCTCATACCTTCAGAGAGAAGATAAGAGGATGTGACTTAGAAGGAGTGCCTTTGAAAATGACCCATGTCCAGATCGGAGCATGATGAAAGCAGTTAAAACCAGGCTGCCCAACATGTATGCCTGGGGTTCCCAAAAGTTGGCTTGCTCCTTTCATAGGCAGCCCTAGGACTGACTGTACTAGCAGCTCAGTGGTTAATGGCTGGAGTGGGCTGGAATTCATTACTGTTCCACTTCAGGGACTCCAGGAATGTCTGATTTTCTGTTTTGTTGTTTTTTTAAAGTAGGAGATTCCATTAAGAAATTTATAGCTTATTAATCAAAGACTGGAAAATATAGGTATTATCTTTACCCAAGGTTTTCATAATTGTCATTTCTTTAAAAAGCATACTTTAGTATAAATCATTAGGCCCCAGGAAATGTTGAAATGTTCTTTCTCTTATGCCTTTTATCCACTTGTGTAACTTTTCTCATTCTCTCCTTCCCCAGCTCATATCATATGTTGCCTCTTCAATGACACATAGTGTGAAAAATGTTTCTCTCTCTCTCTCTCTTTTTTTTTTTTGCTGGTGCAAAACCAGGTTACAGTTGCCAAAGAAGGCAATGCATACCAGAGGGCTTGACAACTTTGGAGAGCTTAGCACCATATTTTCTCTAATCATAATAAAAATAACTAATATTTATATGGTAACCTATTAATCTTTACTAAGCTATAGTACATGCTTTACATCTATGACATGTGAGTCTCAAAATAACTCTGTAATACATATATTATCTCTGTTTTAGAGGTGAAGAAACTGAAGCTTAGGGAATGTTACAGTTATTCCCAAAGTCATACCAGGAAACACAGGGAATGGTGATCATGGTAGGACAAAGAAGGAGAAGGAATGAAAGAATGACATATGCATAATGCATTTTTAACATGTGTTGTCTTGTAAAAGACCTGTATATTAGATGTGACTGTCACCTTCATTTATTAAGTGGGGACTCCAGGGCTCAGAGAGGAGAAGTGTGTTGCCACAAATTAGAGCTAAAAAATGGCAGAGCCAGGCCAAGAACCAGGACACTCAAGCAGTTTTGTTCTTCCTGGTATGTTTCACCGCCTCTCAGTAGAGGTAAAGGATGGTAAACTTCAATGGGTAGCTACCTTGGGTTCGCAAGGTACCATTGTGCTTCCCCATCTTAGCTTCTCCCTCTCTTTTGTGTATCTTTACTAGGAGAAGCGACGGGGAGACTCTGGAGGAGCAAGATGGTAGGGTTGTTTATGCATCTTGATACCTTCCTCCTACACACACATATAGTACTTACCTACATCGTTGGATTGGAGTTGGGAACAGATGCACAGATGCCTGGAGCACAGAGTAGTTGGCTTAGGAGAGGAAGAGACAGGATGAATTGGGAAAAGAAGGGGCTGGGAGTGCTTTCCACTGTGACCTGGAAAGTTTACAGGTTTGTCCGGGACAAAAAGATACAGTTAGAGAGATTTGGTATGCTGGGAGTGGAGACCTAAGACCCTGAGACCATTGTTTTGGCCTATTTCGTGAGCTCATTGAATGTTTAGAGGGCAGGTACCTAATCTGAAAAAATAATCCTTGACACGATAAGTAGGCAGAGGTATGATGGCATTTTAGAAATGTTAATGATGATTTTTAAACGTGAGTTACTTTTATCTCATGGGCTTGTCTTGTCTTCTTTCCCTTCCTCCCTTTTGTGAAGTTTCATCAGATGTATACATGTATGTGGATGTGCATGTGTGTATTCAGTCTAAAAACTTCCCAAATGACAGCTGAATACCATACGATGAGTAAGTCACTAGAGAAATCCTTATTAAGGAAGAGAAACATTTTCCTAAAGGTGACATAGCCTGCTAAGATTTCTTTGGCTCTCAATGAAGAGTGTTTAACCTCATACAGAGCAATTTCAATTCCAGACTCTGCCTAGAGGCCTACCATTGTCAGCAGAGCAGAAAAGGCCCATTGCAAACTCTTTGCCAAACAACATTGCTGCATACTCTCAACACTACCTTTAGTTAAACAAATACTTTGCCAAATATTTGAAAGTAAAT